TGAACATCTGTAGCTAAAAGGCTTACCTCTCTAACAACAACATCTCTCGTAGACATTTTGCCAAATCCTTCGCGAGTGTACACTTTCCCTTGTTCAGCAAACGTCAAAGTGGCCCTAAATCCTTTATTAAGAAGTTCCTGCTTGGATATTTAGAGAAGGAAACAAAAAAACGTTTTCTTTTCAATAGCAGAATCACATTTCGAGTGAGAAATCAGCATAGATATTGCGCTACAAAAGTCATGAACCCATAAAGATCGTGGATAGCGTTATTAATTCTTTCAGCGTTATTATTTCTTGGAATAATGTGTTGATTTAAGCCCTCATAGATTGAATGACTGACTTCAAAAATTATTAGAAAATACGGTTTGGAGCTAACCTAAACTTCCGCTTATCGCCAGTAGTTGAAGCTGATTCAGTGATGTCCGTAATATCAAAAACTGGATTGAAAGGACCTTCTGAAACTCTCTCGGCACATAATTTTCTCATACAATCGAGCAGCGACAATGCGGATTCCAGTGCATTAAGCTATAAGATAAAAAGGCTAAAATTGCTTTGAAAATCACATAAGATGAAACCATGGAAAAACCTTGATCTTCTTAGCGGGAGGTGCATCTTCGCCCTGAATGGACTAATAACATCTAACAATAGAAAACAGGATAGAAATGAAATGCCCCTACCTCAGGCTTTATGGCAGGTCTTGCTATAGGCTGGAGTGGCACTGTCCCTTCAGCGGTTACTGGCTGCACTGTTACGCCATCTTCGAATGGAGTGATAGGCAAATCAGGGCGCAGTGTGCGCAGAGCCATCTCCGCTGTTTTCTAAGTTGAACAGATTAAATGACTTGCCTTTCAGCTAATTTCTACTAAATCTTCTCAAAGACCTTGCACTTCTAAGGCAGAAAAAGGACTGATGTTACCTGTTTGGCTGTTTTTTTAGCAGGTGCTACCATTGCAAATTGTTGTCCAGCAACGGTCAGGATGCAGCGGTAAGCCTTTGGATGAGAAGCTACCTCTTCATATCTGAATATCGCCATCCTTTGATCTAACACTACCTACAGCCATAAATTTGCCAACAAACTACCTTATACTAAAATCTTTTTGATATGTTTGAAAATGTAATATCTCTTGAACTCTAATCTCCTCTCTAAAAACGAATCACCAGAATTTGTAAAATATCAACTTTTACCCAGCTTTAAGATGAAAAAGATTTATAACAAAGTAAGTTGTAAAATACTCCTGATGCTTGACAAAGCACTCCACCTTTTGGAGTGGAGGAACAACCGACAAATGCTCACTGCTAATTTTGCAAATGAACTTACTTATTAGGATCATCGTCAAAAAATGGAATTGACCAATACGCGCTCTAGTTGAAAAGCGATTCTCCACAAAAGTTTGCATTCTGTTATTTGTTAGGGCTAGAATCGAGACA